GGGCACATTGCTCTGCTGTCACTAAATTACAGTGTCCACGTGGTCTCCAAAGTCTTCGCCCTTTTGCAAAACCTGTTCACCCATAGCAGTCCAGTCTCTTGTCGTTATAACAGTGCATCACTTGTCACTTGAACGAAACTTGCGTTGTTACTTTCGTAGTTTGATATGTACTACCCATGGCAATGTAATTTCTACTTCAAATAACCAACCGACGATATCGTGAAAAAAGGGGGGGTATCAAAATGGCTTCCAAAATCATCCATGTGAAAAATTCCCTTGGGGCCGTCCATCCATCCATGAAAGAAAAGAAAGATCCAAAACGCCTCCGTGGATCCTAACGTGAACGCTCACTATATAATTTACTGGAATAGAAAAGATATCCATCACAATCACTCCCCCATCCTTCGCGTCTTGGGACTCTTCTTCGGAGGAGGATTGAACGAATCGCTCGTGCGGGCGCGTTTGAGATTCGCCGGTGGTCCAACTCTGCTGCTTCCACTGCTGGCCTGGCTAGCACGCTTAGCCAACTTCGCAGCCTCGCGAATGCGAACACCACCAGCAGGGCTGTTGAACCCACTTCCGCCTCCAGCGGTTGCAGCCGAACTTCCTGCGGGGATCTCCTCGGCCAGACGATCGGCGAGAGCAGCGTCGTATTCGCGCTCGCTAGCACGGACAGCGCTGGGGTCTTGTTGGCGGGCTGTAGCGAGCATGTCGACGCTACCATCGTCGCTGTCTTCGTAGTCGGACTCAGATCCTTCAGAAACGTCGGAGGCGATGGGCGCGATGTTGAGGATTTGCATGGCGGTTGTAGGGCCGCCAGAGTCGCTGTCGCTGTCGGGCTCAGATGAGGCGTCGGATGCAAGGTCCGAGTCGACATCGCCGGAAGAGCAAGAATCCAGTGGAAGGAAGGAGGCGGGAGGAAGAGTCGAGCTAGGAAGGTTTTTCCGTGACGCAGAGAGAATCCTCTCCTCAATCACACGCTGAGGACTTGACCTAGGAGACTCGACTTCAGGGGACGACTGCCTGTTGAGTGCATCCTGGATGGCCTTGGGGTACAAGGTTGACCAGCGGCGAGCGGCGACATGGGATGGCGCGGTAGGTACTTGTGATCGTCGTACGTGGATGGAGAAGTTGTCCTCTGGCTGTACACCACCCAAACCCGAAGCCTCAAAGTCCATGAGTTCTGGGCTGGTGTTACCGCTGTCGTTCCTCAAGGCCTCCGGCGAGAAGCCAAGGTCATCTCCACTCGAGACAGTGCGTGATCCGCTGTCAACATCCATCGGCGTAGTGTCCAAAGGACCTCGGGGCTCGGCCAGATCCAGCGACGTCCTCTTGGTCGGGGATGATGTGCCCTGTTTGGCACCGAGAGGCTGGTTCGTGATTGGCTGATAGTTGCCGGGCATGGTAAGGAAGGCGCCGTTACGATCACCGCTCAGGTCAGTGCAGAACTTGGCCTTGGTGTAGAAGATCATGGGTCCGTCATCGCGCCTGCGAGGTTTTGATGAGGAGCTCTGCATGATGGAACTGCTGAAACCCGAGGAGTTTCCTGTGGGCTGTGGTTGGTAAGAGTAGTTGGCTGAGGATTCGGCATCGAAAGCGTAAAACTCGTCTTCGTTCTCCGACTCATCCTTGTGGAAGAACATGGGTTTGTACGCAAACTTGTTTTGCTCCTTCTCACGCTGGGCACGAGCTTGCCTTCTGGCAATCGTGGCTTCGTCCATCATGTCGCTGCTGGCACCGCTGTTACCAGTCTTCATACCCTTGAAAGGCGACTGGGAGCCGGACTCATTCGGTGAAGCACCACTCCAATGCTCCGACGAGCTGTCGCCGCTGTGCTTGGTGATGTCGAGGCCGCCCTTCCATCGGATTTTCCGACCATCGCGAGAGATCTCGAGATGGTTGCTGTACTCGTGCAAGGCGTCCTTGACGAACTCGGGTGTGACGTTTAGAGTGTGTAGTTGGGCCATGTTGATGACCAAGTTTAGGTAAATCCAGCCGTGGCCGAGGGGTGCTTCTCCAGAGTCCATGTCCGGTGGGGTGAAGCCAAGATGGCGGATGTAGTCCATGTTCTCTGTAGGCACCTGCGCACGGTAAGGGTCCAGGTCTAGCGGTCGTGTGGGTCGTTGGTCGGGAGATAGACCTGAGCCAGCGAAGTCCTGTTCCTCGATATGCAGGCTGGGGCGGAAGCCCTGTAGGACTTCGTCCTGGTCCGCATGACTTTCCCGAGCAGCACTAGCACCGCGGTCGTTCCTGATGCGAGCTTCACGCTGACCCTCGGGCTTCTGATTTTGTCCCGTCGCTTCTCGCTGGGCACGGTCGGCTGTTGCTGCCGACTGGGCTACTTCCTGTTGCTGCATTGGGTGTGGGTGGGACCCGGGCGCAGAGCGCTTGCCAGCAAAGATCTGCTCCAGGCGGCGCACAACCATCTTCTTCTTAGACTTGTCGGTCATGGGGGCGGTCTTGTTGTTGGGTAGCAGGCCCATGGGGATGTCGTGGAGGTACGACTGGATGTTTTGCTGTTGCCGGCTGTAGGCGGATTTGGTCATCTTGCGGTGGTCGTTGTCTTGATTGGATTGGCCTGACGAGTTAGGGCCGGATGCAGATAGGGAAGCGTAGCCCGACTCGGCGAAGCGCGATGTGGAGGAGGCGGTGTTGTGGGTTTGGAGTGCCGGGGTGTAGGCTGAGATGTCGGCGTAGTCGTTGGCGGTGCCTTCGTCGAGATCTGATGCAAACTTGCGCAGAGTCTCCTCGAGTTCTTTCTTCTTGTGGTCGGGCAGGCCATGGAACCTCACCTCGAACAGCTTCTCTTCTTGCAGGTGGGCATCGTAGAGCTTCTCGTACTTCCGCAGCCGCTGCTTGAGCTTCTTGTTGGCGACGGTCAGGTCGTCGATGACGCTGCGGAAGTCTTCGGTGCTGCTGCCGTCGGTGCCAATCTGGCCGAGGGGGCGGTAGGGCATGGCGACCTGTGCCTGGGTGGTGTCGGGCGGCGTCTCGGACGAAGACGAGTTGCGGAGGAAGAAGGGCGGTTCATCTTAATAGTCAGTCACACTTTCTCATCTACTCTGTCGGAGGCACTCACTGTCGACGAAGGCCGACTTGCCCTGGCTGGCCGTGTTGTTGGTCTTTTCGAACCATTGGCCGGCGTCGCTGCTCTCGCCCGAGCTGGTCTTGTTGGAGAGCAGCTGGGGAGACACGCTCGAGGGCGGATTGGCCTTGTCGCTGGCGAGGGTGGGCGACGTCTCAGCAGTCGGCGCCTTCTTGGGCTCGCGTCTTGATGGTTGAGGTTTAGGCGGCGGGCTGTGGCGGAGAGAGACGGAGCGGTGGGCTGGCGGGCGGCGTGGGTGGGAACGCGCAGCCATGGGAATGGTTCCCGGGCGGTCGTTCATGGCGGGTGGAGAGAGGCGGGTGAGAGTTGGGGGCTAGACAGGCAGGATGCTCCCCATGTGGATGATGGTGAATGTCAGGCCGCTAGCGATCAAATGTCCAAGGTGTGCGTATATTGTAGACCGGGAGGCTGTTGTGCCCAGGCTCGAATGGATCAGACGCTTCCGCGGCGGTGGTTCGAATGGTATGTAGGGTGCTGGTAGCGGCGTCGTCGTATGGGGGGAGGGCAGTTTCAGCGTGCAAATTGAAAGATGGCTGAAGAGAGTTGTGGGCTCTCTCGGCGCTGGTTTGAGCAGGTGAGCCATGATGGGCATCGATCTTGATGTGGGTAAGCATGTCGATGCTCTCGATTTCCAACTTGCCAAGACTGCAGCTGGAGATCGAGGGTACCTGGCCGCGAAGAGGAAGTGTGGCGTTCGGGCCTAGCGCAAGAACTACCGGCAATCGACGATGGGCCTTGATCTCTAACCCACCATCGCCCACTGGGAAGCCCATCGCCCTTCTGTTCCGCCCGCTGACCCTGCCGTCTCGATGGCTCTCCATATCTGTGATGGCCGTCCTCTCCTATGCTTCTCCGGAGAACACAACCTTCTAGCAGCACTGCCGTACTGCGAACAATATGCAACCGCCCGCACATATCTACACTTGCCACCGTCTAGATCCGCGTCTGACAGTTGCTGCCAGTGCTGCACGGCACAGAGATGGTCCAGACCCTCTTCACACCATGGCTTCCCATCACAGCATAACCGTGGCGGCACGAACCGTTGACACGCTGCCGCTAGAGCCTCACCAGCCACACGCGCTCTCACACACGGCCACAGCATCCATCGAGATTGCGAATGCTAGCCGGCCCTCTCCTGACGCACACTCCCCGTGTCCCCTCCCTAGATGAGGTCACTCTTGCACGGTGCTGGCAACGGCTGGGAAGCGCAATCGATTTCCTGGACCCTGATCTGTCCTTGGTTGTTCGGCTCAGACACCCTGCCGCCATGATTGGCGGGCACAAGACTCCCACTGTGCCGCCCTCATCGCTGCCAGCATCGCAATCGAGAGGGCCATCGCAGTAAAGGGTCCAGCTGGAACACTCGTTAATGCATCTCACGGCAGGCATGCAGCTGACTTCCTCCGACAAGCATACGAAAAGGGTCTTATTACGCCTGGATCCTCAGGGGCTTTGTCCTGCAACGACCGCTGACCATGACTGCTTGCTCCAACATTTTTCACTCTCACGGTGGGGTGATGCCACTTCCAACCTCAGATCACCGATTGAGCTCGGATCGCAGATTACTCGTTACAACCATGCAGGGCAGAGCGCCCCGGGAGGTCGCCCCGGTCTAATCACCGAATCGCAACCAATATCGTTTCGTAACTCGTTAGGACGCACAACACCATCGGCGATGCTGGAATTAGGCTCGTCTAAATCGTACGATGGTGTTTGGACACTCAAAAACCTGAAGGGGTTTCATACTGGAAATGTCACATTCAACATCTCATCGAGATCCCATGTGCCGTGACGTCTTCGCTAGTGTAGCGGAAAAAGTAGAAACACAGAATACATCATGGCCTCGGCTTAACGTGCCATGAAACAGTCAACATCCGCCGATGGACAGACCAACTCAGATGCGCGCACCCTTACTCCTCAGCACGTTGACGGCAGAATGGCCCGTATAGTTGAGCCACTCGCCCAGTCCTCCCATGAAGCCGCCAACCTTCATCAGGTCTTGTAATCTGTTATCCAGAAACTGCTCCGTCTCTACAAAGTCGGCCGACTTGTCCTGTGTCATGTATAACTCGGTCGAGGAGTAGATGGCCGAGAGTGTCGCTCGCTTGGTGTACCAGCTGCTATCAACACTCTGGTCTCCCGATAGAAACCATATCTCGTCTGCGAGTCTCGCAAGTTCGGCGATAGATGCCGGGACGTACGTGGGCTGGGCCATGATCGCGAGTGCCTATCACCCATCAGCACGCTGACCTTTGCTGCTGTGTATGCACTGTCCTACCTCCTGCCATCGATGTATGACGGGTTCATTCGCCCGCAACCGCGCCAGCGTCAACGTCCTGACTTTTGCGCCAACGCCCATCTTCTTCCCTTGCTCTCCCTGCTCTGGGAATTGAACATTGTTCTGTAGCGCCAAGCGCTGCGTGACAAGATGGTAATTGATCAAATCGAAGACACCCCGCGGAAGCAGATTCGTAGAGACATCAAGATAACCGGCGTCGCGAGCACCAAGCTTCAGTGCGTCCATAGTAAACCCATGGCTGGGTACGTGTGCGTATGCGGAGGAGAGTATGGCGGACTCGGCGGGAGGAAACGGCGGCGGCTGCGCATAATCATACGAATGGTACAGGCATCGTTGTCGCGAAGCGGCTGCTGGGCGAATTGAGGCTGCTCGGACACTCCCGAGTAGCGAGCTGGCTAGTCGTGATGGTGGCATGGTGGATGCAATTGAAGATGTAGAGATCAGCCGATGCGGACATTTGCTGCCTGCTCCGCAAATCTGCCAAGACCGCAATCGATCAGATCTCACGCTAACTCTGTGACGTCGTAGAGCGGTCGATCAATTTCGACGTTGAACTTGCCAATCGATCTCAACGTCTGCATATCGATCTTGGAGGCAAAATATCTCACCACGTGGCCCTTCGACACCATTCCAAATTGTACAGGAGGCTGAAGATCCGCATCCGACTGCAGTTCCAGATCTTGTCAATCACGTCGCCACGTGACCGACGCGTCGAACGCGTCTGCGCTAGTGGCAACACTTCTGCGATCCAGCATCTCCCAGCAATCCACAATTCCCCTGGCATCCAGCAGACAATTGCCATCCGATCTTCAGGAACCCATCGGATACCCCGCAAATCTCAGAGGCGACATCTAAACGAATCGAAACGCGATCTTCAACCCACGACGACCCCGCGCGCATCGCAGCCTACACGTCCCCGCCACGACCCCGATTCGAGACCCTTCTCTGTATACAGTTAGGGATTGGATTTGCTTTCCAACATGGCGCGCGGCAAAAATGTCGAGGTCAGCGAGTATGAGCGCAAACGGCAGGAGAACATTGCAAAGACGCAGGCGCTATTGCGCAACCTCGAGATGGAGGCTGCAGAAGCCGGTCTAGGTCCCACAGGCAAGGCGAAGACCTCTGTGCCATCGCGACCCAAAGCGAAGAAGCCCGCGCCCAAGAAGATCAAGCAAGAAGAAGAAGCGCCACGTAGAACATCCTCGCGATTAAAGGGCATTGTGGCAGACAGCGAAGTCGCAAAGCGCAAAGCCGAGGATGAATACGTCGCGATACAAGCAGCTGATCGCGCAAAGCGACAACGCGTTAGTGATGCCTTCAACTTCAGTGACATAGTCGTAGCAGGCAAGGACTGGAACCGGAGCGGGAACTTCCTCTCTGTCGGCCCTGCAGATCCATACGCACGCACATTTGACTACAACGATGTGAAGGAGACCACCGACAAGGAATTGCGTGCCCTACGAGAGCGTATGAGCGGTCTAACGCTCTGGGAAGATTTCGAGCCGAATGAGATCAAGATCACACCCGAGCGCATATACTCCATGGGCCTCCACCCCACAACCGACAAGCCATTGGTGTTTGCTGGTGACAAGCTGGGCAACCTGGGAATCTGCGATGCATCGCAGAAAGTGGCAGAAGTTAAAGTAGAAGATGACGAAGACGCGGACAGGGAAGGACCGACCATCACGACGCTCAAACCGCACACACGCACGATACACACTTTCCAATTCAGCCCCCACGATGCAAACGCGCTATACACGGCATCCTACGACTCGAGCGTGCGCAAGCTCGATCTCGCCAAAGGCGTCGCAGTCGAAGTCTACGCCCCAAGTGACAAAGACGAAGAAGCGCCCCTATCCGGTCTGGAAATCAGCAAAGACGACCCAAACACGCTCTACTTCTCCACACTCGACGGCCAATTCGGTATCTACGACATGCGCACCCCCAGCGAAGAAGCCGCCGGCCTACAAATCTTCCAGCTCTCAGACAAGAAAATCGGAGGCTTCACTTTACACCCCTTACATCCGCATCTCGTCGCCACCGCGTCCCTCGACCGCACACTCAAGATCTGGGATTTGAGGAAGATAAGTGGGGAGGGTGGGGAGAAGGCACCGGCGCTGGTGGGCGAGCATACGAGTAAATTGAGCGTGTCGCATGCTGCGTGGAATTCTGCGGGGCAGGTAGCAACCGCGAGCTACGACGACACGATCAAAATACATGATTTCGGGAATTGCGCGGAGTGGAAAGTGGGCACGACGTTGGAAGAAGAGGCTATGGAACCGACGGCTGTGGTGCCGCATAATAATCAGACGGGGAGATGGGTTACTATGTACGTCCCTCTATTTTTCCTCCCCTCTTCCTCCCCTTCTCCATCCCCTCCCCCTTCCCCTTCCCTTCCCTTCCCTTCCTACCCCTCCCTCCCCACACATACCCATACTAACAACCCCCGCAGTCTCCGAGCACAATGGCAACAAAACCCTCAAGACAACGTCCAACGTTTCTGCATCGGCAACATGAACCGCTTCGTCGATATCTACACCGCAAAAGGCCAGCAGCTAGCGCAGCTGGGGGGCGAGGGCATTACGGCTGTGCCGGCGGTGGCCAAGTTTCATCCGACGGTGGACTGGGTGGCGGCGGGGACGGCGAGTGGGAAGTTGTGTTTGTGGATGTGAGATGTGGAGGGATGGGGGTGTATGAGGGGGAGGGGATGGAGGAGGAGGGGGATGGGGATGGGGATGGAGGATGGAGGATGGAGGCGGAGGAGGGGATGGGGATGTACTACCAAACGGGCTGGAATAGATGCGGTAGTAGTAGTACAGTAGTAGTACATCTCTGATACTACTACCAGTACTGTACTACCACTCTACTACTACCACCGCGTCTATTCCAGTCCGTGCTGACCTCAACATTTGGATATACAGGGTGGCAGGCTAGGGTGGATGTACGAAGGGGATGTACGAGAGGTAAGACGGGATTGGTGAAGGGCATTGCGTAAGCTGAGTCGCGCGCGTTTTTTTAGCTGCGAACTCGGCGGTAATGTTTGTAGTGGCTTTTGGGATCAGCGTAGGGGTGTGTTGATTATGTTGATTTGATACCACGGGGAGGAAGCGTCGCAATGGAGAACACGTCAGCGGCTTTGGCTTGGGCTGCCGCGTAGGTTGTTGTACTACTTGTTGAACTTCTGTTTTGGTAGATAGGCCGCTAGTTCTGGTGGATGTTGCTTTGGTACTGGAGAAGGTGACAGTTGTTCCATGATCTTTGCAGCCGGACGCTGCTAGTGAGGGTGGGTGGGGAGGCGGAGGGGAGGAGGTGGAAGTTACTAAACCCTCATTATTGCACAGATAACCAGTTGTCTTCATTGTCCCAATTGTCTCCACACCCGTTGAAAGTCCTCTACCCTTCCTATTACGCGCATACCGGTTATTCTTGTCGACCTTAAGATCTCTCCACCCTAGACGAACGCAGGCAGGAAGAAGTAGAAGCCTTCCGCTAATGTTTAGAGTCCAGCGCTGCTAGGGTCCCAGAATATGTAGACTTCTTACTATTTAAGCTGCATTGCTTCGTATACATACACGTAAACGTACACGTACAGCGCGAGGAGAAGCAAGTGGGCTTAGTACACACTTTCGTCTGACCTGCATTTGTGCCGTTGGAGTTGTATTGGGATAGGTGGAACGATTACAATCCCCTTGTTTGACGGATGTGAAGAACGTCTCTACGAATACACTCATACTAATTATTCTCATTGTCTTCACGAGCTTCACGCCCGCGCGGTAGCTTTGGTCATGTGTCCGTACCTTCGTTCGAACATCTGCTCAACTTTTTCACCACTAGTTTCACGACATTTGCGCCTGCTAGTAGAGGGCTCTACCGGACTTGGACTACCAGAGCACACACATACTTGCTCAAACACTAGCTTCCATGGTCGAAGACGAGGCCCCTTGTTCGGAGTGTAGGGTAACGTTGTACTGGCTATTGAGGTTGTACCTTGGTGGGCGGGGCGATCGCCATAGGTCTTGGTATGGGTACGAGAAACACATCGTTTGGATCCCTAACACGAGATACTGTCATTGGATCGCCTTTGATTCAGTGGCATCCAGCTCTTGTGCCCGTCGTTGAACTTCTTTCTCAGCTGGCTGCATGATCGTGAAAACTCTCGAACGTTCCGATACTCACAAACCTCGGTATTCCGCAAAGAAACATCCAGCATACCCACGATCTTTCTCAATTCCCCACATCCACGGCCGTTTACACCGCTCTACCCTCTCCACCCTCTCCAAAAGCGGAATTAAATAGTCCATGCATGAATCCTCCCTGCCAAACGCGTTTAGAGCAATCGCGATTATCGAATTTATCGAACGCATGCGTGTATGCGACTATCGCATGTGAGGTACATGGCTAGATATTCGCGTACCGTGGTTTGTTTTTCCCATTCGGCCGAAAGCAGCAGTATCTCCATAGTATGCGACAGGGGACGGCCCGGTCTTTCATGCGCGAACATGAACTTGACAGAACGGTACTCGCGTGCTTGCCATGAGGAACATGTGCAGTCTGCAGTCTGCTGTCGGAGAAACAGACATCTCCGCTACCGCGCTTTGTCGTTAAGAATAGAACTTTCGACGGACAATTCTCCGGACGTAAGCAGGAAGAATTTGTGATGTCGTCTGCCCTTCTCTTATCGCACAGAAGGTGCCGACGCCTTCCGCCCGCTTACCACCTTCCGCGCTGCTCCCTTTCCTCACGATCTCCATATAACCGGTTCGTATCTGCTACGTCGCCTGCTACTTTCACGGGTAGCGTTGGTTGCAAATACGAGGTTTGGTGGGTTTCTATTTCCGGATGTGGCGATGGGTGGGTAGGAGCACTAAGGTAGCGGGTGTGGCACCAGCGGGGATCGTGTCCTTCTGCCAGCCTCGTTTTTCTCTCGACCGTGTACCTCGTACGACATCAACGACACAGGTACCGTGGTAACATGTCCTCGTGGCACGGAGGCTGGGGAGATGGCGCCAATACGGATAACCTCCCATGTGGGAATTTGTTGTGTAATGGGAATTGTGAGGTGGAGAGGAGCTATCGAGATGGGTTTGGAAAGGTTGATGTTCAAATCCAAATAGCGACCGGCTAGCGATACCGAGATGCGGAAAGATTCAATGCCACCGTATCCACCGGCACTTTCGCATACATACCGCCGTATGATGCCGTTATCGTGTGGTGGGAAAACTCTC